TATTTAATATTAAATTCACTCATTTACTAACTTGTTGCAAACCTTTTTGAGTTTTCTTTTGAAACAAAAAAAAAGATATTTTGAAGAATGTTGGAAATCCATAGTCTTTTGTTTTCTTACTATTAATGCCAATGGCTACCAACATTCTTCTAAATATCTTCTTTTAAGTTCAACAGAAAAGAAACCTATATTGTTGAGGGTGAATAAATAGTAAACTAAAGTATCTATCTGTTTAGGATGCCATAAATTAGTACTGACAGTTTATAACACCTTATATACATAAGCTTGTTTGTAGCATTTAAGTTTTTTTTTTTGCAATACACAAAATACTTTGCGTGATTGGCATTTTTTTCATCATAAAATGCTTTTAAATATCTTTATTTCTTAATCTGATACCTATTTTTGACAAAATACTGTGTAAAAGAATGCTTTGTTCCAGTTTGTGTGTGTTCTTTGTATTCCTCTTGTTGTGGAGACCAAATGCCCCCACAAGTATAGCAATACCAGTCTTTTTTTTTTATTATTTTGACGACAGAGGAGAAAGAAACCCATATTGTTTCAGTACCACTTAAGAATGAGTAACTAGTGAGTGATTTTTGATTAAGAATACAGTATCTATCTGTTTAAGATGCCATAAACTAGTACTAATTTTCACATTGTGCGGTACAAAGAAACTTGTGTGTAGCATTTAAGTTTTTCTTTGCAATTCACAAAATAATTTGCAGCATTTTTGTCATCATAAAATGTTTTAAATATCTTTATTTCTTAATCTGATACATATTTTTGTCAAAATAGTGTGTAAAAGAATATTGCAATGTGTGTGTGTGTACTTTGTATTCCTGACATTGTGGAGACCAAATGTCCCCATAAGTATAGCAGTACCAGTTTTTTTTTTTTTTACTTTTAACGACAGAAAAAAAAGAAACCCTTCTCATTTTTGATTAAACTACAGTATCTATTTGTTTAAGATGCCGTATACTAGTACTGATTATCACATTATGCGATATGAAGAAACTTGTTTGTAGCATCTAAGTTTTTATTTGCAATTCACAAAATATTTACTGGCATTTTTTGATCATAAAATGTTTTAAATAGCTTTATTTCATAATCTAATACATATTTTTTGAAATAGTGTGTAAAAGAATGATTTCTTTTGCAGTTTGTGTGTATGTACTTTGTATTCTTGACATTGTGGAGACCAAATGTCCCCATAAATATAGCAATACCAGTACATTTTTTTGAAGTTTTGAGGACATTTTTCGCTCCTTATGAGAAAAACGGCTCATAAACCACCCAGAATGACGTATTTTGAAAGTGTAAAACTGCAGATTATTTCCTGTGAGCGTTGGGTTAAGGTTTGGGCACTGAATATACAGTCCACTCTACAGCAGTGTTTCCCAACCCTGTTCCTGAAGGCACATCACCAACAGTACACATTATAACCTCCACCTAATCAAACACACCTAAATCAACACATCAGAACACAAGAAGAGATTCCAAACCCTGATTGGGTTAGATAAAGGAGACATCCAAAACATGTACTGTTGGTGTGCCTCCAGAAACAGGGCTGGGAAACACTGCTCTACAGTATTAACATACTTATTTGTATGGGAAGTCCCCATACAGATAGCTGTACAAGTGTGTGTGTGAACAGCACAGTTGTCTTTGGTCTGCTGCACAGAGTGTTTAGTCATTTCCTTTGTCAGTTTTTCCATCTGATTAAAACGTGGCCGCCTCCTCTGCCTTTGTTTGCGATGCTCTCTCGCAGCGGCGTCTCCGAGCCTTGACTTTCTTTCAGACTTCTCTCACATTCACTTTAAAACTGCCTATTCTTTTTGAGCGACAAACAGAAATACAGCAGACTGTGCATTTGGGATGTTTGAAAGCATCACAACTGTTCGGTATTTTGATGAAAACCCCAGGACGGAGAGCTGGGGAAAGTACGGTGTGTGTGTGTGTGTGGGGTCACAGCAGACGTGAGCGTGAACAGAGGCCTGCAGTGTTTCAGTCTCCATCACGCTCTCGTGATCTTCGCTCAACATTCCTCCGCCAATGCAGACCAGCGTTTGACTGGCATATCTGCGCTCTTGTGCCAGGACGTCCGTGACCCCAGTTGTAAAACACACTTCCTTACACTTCTGCCACTTCCTCGGAGTCTGCGGTTGAGATGTTGCTGAAATAAGGCCTGCGTTTAAATGAAATCAAAAGTGAACATGTGGTTTTTGTGAGCTCACGTTGCTAGTTTTGTGGTGAACAATTCCTCCGTGCATGTCATTAAGAAGAAAACAGTTGTTTGTAATCTTTAACTGACATCTGAGAATGCATATATATATGCTTATATATATATATATATATATATATATATAAACAAGCCTGGTTTAAGCTGGACATAGCTGGTTTTGGCTGGGCTACCAGCCTGGCTAGGCTGGTCAAGCCGGTTTTAGCTGGTCATATCCCAGCCTGACCAGCTAAGACCAGGCTGGAAATGGCTGGAAACCAGCTTGGAAATGGCCAAAACCCCTCTAAAACCAGCCTGGTCGACCAGCTAAAACCAGCCAACCAGCCTAGGCTGGTTTAAGCTGGATTTTTCAGCAGGGAGAGCTGCTCATTTGCCTAGTTACATTGAGTGCGTCATCTTATCGTATTGCTTTCTCTACAGTTTACTCAATAGCACACACAGCGTGATAAATAAGCTCAATTTGTGATGTCAGATGACAGCCTAAACGTTCATTGTTATGTGTGTAGTACACAATATTTTTCTGAGGCAACCTGGGATACAAACAAGTCATTTTGAAAGTGAGCAGTTTAACCTCAGGAACTGGAAATGGCTCATTATACTTGAAGCAACATCGATTGTACTGTCGATTGCATGCGCTGCTGCAGATCTGACAGAGCTTCTCCTTTTCTCTCCTCACAGGAATCGATTTCAAAATCAGAACCATTGAGCTGAACGGAAAGAAAATCAAGCTGCAGATATGGTGAGATGCTTGTTTGTCATATAAATATGCGGCGCTAAGTTGCGTTTTAATGTATCCGGTTATATCATCGTTTACACGTCCTCTTCAGGGAAGGCCGTGTAAACAGTGAGTGTGCTTAAAAAGATAATCATTTCATAAATGACTCATTAGGGTACAGAATGTTTTTGCTTTTACTAAATTTTTTTTAAAAATTATCCTTTATTTAAAATAAAATATTGAAACTTTGCCCACGTTCTCAAATATTTATGCAGTTATTAATTTGCAGTTATTAGGATTTCAACACTTGAAATAACTTGGGGTGGCATGGTTGATTAAGGTGGCCTCACAGCAAGAAGGTCATTGGTTCGAGCCTCGGCTGGGTCAGTTGGCATTTCTGTGTGGAGTTTGCATGTTCTCCTCGTGTTGGTGTGGGTTTCCTCCGGTTGCTCCGGTTTCCCCCACTGTCCAAACATATTTGCTATAGGGGAATTGGGTAAGCTAAGTTGGTTGTAGTGTGTGTGTGTGTGTGTGTGTGGATGTTTCCCAATACTGAGTCGCAGCTGGAAGGGCTTTAGCTGCGTAAAGCATATGCCAGACTAGTTAGTGGTTCATTCTGCTGTAGTTACCCATGATAAATAAAGGACTAAGCCGAAGGAAAATGAGTGAGTGATAATATTATTGATGATGATATATTGTGCAGCTAGTGTGATTGATAAAGGGCAGGGCGTGTGGACGGTAGTGTTACGGTATAAACCATCCGCACGCTCCCTCCATCTGCTCACTCTGCAGGATGTTTACATGCAGCGCTGGGAAATAATTCAGTGCAAACTCATGTCAAGAGCCCAATGACAAAGGAAGGAAGGACCGAGGTGAGGATGTGTACTTTCGTGTGACTCTTTGGTTGTTTTACAGGGACACGGCAGGACAGGAGAGATTTCGGACGATCACCACGGCCTACTACAGAGGAGCTATGGTAAAAACACTGCTGAATACTGCTCATTTGGCTTATGACGGTATCAGATTGTCTTGTTGAGGCTATAATATACAGTTGAAGTCGAAATTATTCGCCCTCCTGTGAATTTTATTTTATTTTTTAAATATTTCCCAAATGATGTTTTACAGAGGAAGGAAATTTTTACAGTATTTTCTATAATATATTTTCTTCCAGAGAAAGTCTGATTTGTTTAATTTTGGCTACAATAAAAGCAGTTTTAACATTTTTAAAAACTATTTTTAGGTTGTTATTATTAGCTCCATAAGGTATATATATATATTTGATAGTCTACTGAACAAACCATCGTTATACAAAGATTTGCCGAATTACACTAGACTTTAAGCTGAATACAAGTATCTTGAAAAATATCTAGTCAAGTATTATTTACTGTCATCATGACAAAGATAAATCAGTTATTATAAATGAGTTATTAAAACTGATGTTTAAAAATGGGTTGAAAAAAATTATTTTCTTTAAACAGAAACTGGAGAAATTCTACAGATTAACAAAGTGATTTTTATTGATATTTTAGTAGTTTGAAATAATATAATATGTAAAAAATATTATAGAGAGAAATATATATTTATTTTATAAACATAATTAAATATATTATAATTATACAATTGTTCATCTTCACTATCTTTTTCACCCACCACTATGTAATTCATGAAATGATCTGCCCAGGGTCCTGACCTACACCTAATTGAAAATCTTTCGAAAATCCTTGGCAACAAAATTATGGCTAAGAAATCACTACTGTCAGTGAACTGTGGAAGAGAAAATTAGTTGTAACCTTAATTTACGCAGCAATCATTGCTGTTCTCTAAGGATTTTTCTCAAAGAGTCTGAGTTATTATGTAAAACGCTGTTGTACTAGCATGGTGGAGCCACAACTATAATTCCTTCAGAATTCAAACCATCAAAATTACTTCTAAAAAAGTATTTATTATTTATTTCTAAAATTATTTCTAAAAAAGTAATAAAAAAAAAGTTGTAATTTGGATCTCCGCTGTATTTTAAAATGTTGAATGAATGCTTTTTATTTTCAGGGCATTATGTTGGTGTATGACATCACCAGCGAGAAGTCGTTCGAGAACATTAAGAACTGGATACGCAATATTGAGGAGGTAATGGACAATATCTGCACATTTACTTGTACAGCACTAAGTGATGAAGTATTTTTCCATTATAAAACAGATCTTGATTTGATTAGTACACTGCATGTCCAATGAAATTACAGGGACATTTTATTATTATTGTTACTATTATTATTATTACTGTTATATTATTATTATTAATATTATTATTAGAATTTATTATATTATTATTATTGTTGTTGTTATAGATATTATTATTATTTTTATTATTTATAATTATATTGATATTGATAATATCATTATTATTATTATTATTATTATTATTATTATTGTTGTTGTTGTTATTATTATTATTGTTATTGATATTATTATTATTATTATATTATTGTTGTTGTTGTTATAATTATTATTATAATTATTGTTATTATTTTTATTATTATATTATTATTATTATTATTATTATTATTATTATTAATAATATTATTGTTATTATTATTATTACTATTATTATTATTATTATTATTATTATTATATTATTACTGATGTTATTATTATTATTATTAATAATATTATTGTTATTAGTATTATTATATTATTACTGATGTTATTTTTAATTTATTATTACTGATGTTATTATTATTATTATTATTATTATTATTAATATTATTGTTATTATTATCATTACTAATATTATTGTTATTATTATTATTATTATTATTATTATTACACTGTAAAACCCAAGAGTCAACTTTAGCAAATGAAATGAGTGTAGCCGACTCAAAATGTACCGAACTTTAATTCTACTCATTTGAAAAGAGTTTTGAACTCAGTGTTGAAGGTAATGAGTTAATTAAATACCTCATACTTCAACTTAAATGGAGTAAGTTCACAATACTTATACAGATTAGTTTTTAACTCAAATGATTTGCAGCAATCAGTTTCCTCAAGTGGTTCGAGTTGCCTTAGAAGATGATTTGAGTTCTCTTCATTTATTGAGTTTTTAATAAATGTGCTCAAATTGCTTCGTTTACTCAAATGGATTATGTTCACAGTACTCATTAGCATTAGTTTTAGAACTTAGATGGTTTGTTGCAATCGGTTTGAGTTACCTTAACTTTTAAAAAAAAGTTTTTCAGTGTATTATTATTATATTTAATTTATTTATCATTCATCTTGGCATATATATATAATAAAACATGTTAAAAACACACTAGCAACATGCTAAATAACAAAAAAGCTTACGCTAAAACATGTTAGAAAATATTAATTTGTTTAAAGGTAAAAAACTTTAATTGACAAAAATAAAAATTGAGTTATTAATTATTCACCCTTATGTTCTTCCAAATTATGTATTATATTTAATTTATGTAGTTTATTTATTCATATACTATTTACATTTCAGCATGCATCGTCTGACGTAGAGAAGATGATCCTGGGAAATAAATGTGACATGAACGAACGAAGGCAGGTGTCCAAGGAGAGAGGAGAGAAAGTAAGAAAGCTTTACAGAAGAATCAAAAATAGACAATAAATAGATGATGAGTGATGTTGGATATAATGTCCTAATGTGATCTTGTAGCTCTTTGCTAATAAGTGTTTTGTCATTTTTAACATGGTCTTCAGCTGGCAATTGATTACGGAATCAAGTTTTTGGAAACGAGTGCTAAAACCAGCATAAATGTTGAAGAGGCCTTCTTCACCCTCGCCAGAGACATTATGGCTCGACTCAACAGAAAAATGGTGAGTGTTTACATTACAGGGCTGCTACAAACATGAAAACAACTAGTTAAAGTATGCCAGCGGTGTGCTAAACAACATGTTAACACATACAACACAAGAGCTAACCATGATATAATTGTAGTAAAAGTTTAGTAACCATGTTTTTTTCTGGGACATTCTGTATAAAACTTTAAATGACCTGTTTTACTGGAAGTACCATGATTAAACTGTGCTCATTGTAGCATGGTTGGCTCATTACCATGGTTTTAATATGCTATGTTGTTCTGTTTTTGTTTTATGGTTAATGCTATGCTAACTCACGCTATCGTAAAACTAAAACATGCTAACAACATGAAAATTTATGTTAGCAAAATGTTAAAACCATCCATGTAGTTTCTAAAGTGTTTAAGTACATACTAGCAACAATGCTAAATCAATCTAGCAATGTGCTACCTATGCTAGGAAAATGAAAACATGCTAGCAACCTTTTACTTCATGGTAGCAAAATGTTAAACTCACTAGAAACATGATAACAACATCGAAATCCATGATTACAATGTGTTAAGACGTTAAACATTTGAACAATATAGTAATTAATTCTTGCATAATTTATGAATGTTAAAAACATGATAGCAAAATGCTAATTAACAAAAATGCTTATCCGTAAACATGCTAGCAAAATGCTAATTCTTGTTAAATGGTTAGTTCACCCAAAAAGGGAAATTAAGTTATTAAGTACTCACCCTCACGTCGTTCCAAGACCTTTGTTGATCTTCAGATATTTGTGGTGAAATTGGAGAGCTCCCTCATCCTCCAAGAACAGCTACAGTCCAGAGTCATTTAAAGTCCAGAATAAAACTACAAACATCTTCAAAACAGACTATGTGCCTTCAGTGGTTCAATTGCAATATTATCAAGCTATGAAAATACTTTAGTGTGTATAAAAAACAACTTATATAAGACTAGTGTAGTAAGACTGTGCAACTGTCTCTGTTTGAAACAAATAAACTGTTGAACAAAGTCTTCCATCCATCCATCCGTCCGTCCATCCATCCTTCTTTCCATACTTCCTTTCTTCCTTTCATCAATCCGTTCATCCATCCTTTCTTTCCATCATTCCTTCCTTCTATCCATCCATCCATCCATCCTTCTTTCCATACTTCCTTTCTTCCATCCATCCATCCATCTCTCCCTTCTATCCATCCATCCTTTTTCTTTCCATCATTCCTTTCTTCTATCCATCCATCCATCCTTCTTTTCATACTTCCTTCTTTTCTTCCTTCCATCCATTCATCTATCCATCCATCCTTTTTTCTTTCCATCATTCCTTCCTTCTATCCATCCATCCTTCTTTCCATACTTCCTTTCTTCCATCCATCCATCTCTCCCTTCTATCCATCCATCCTTTTTCTTTCCATCATTCCTTTCTTCTATCCATCCATCCATCCTTCTTTTCTTCCTTCCATCCATTCATCTATCCATCCATCCTTTTTTCTTTCCATCATTCCTTCCTTCTATCCATCCATCCATCCATCTTTCCATACTTCTTTTCTTCCTTCCATCCATCCATCTCTCCCTTCCATCCATCCATCCTTTTTCTTTCCATCATTCCTTCCTTCTATCCATCCATCCTTCTTTCCATACTTCCTTCTTTTCTTCCTTCCATCCATCCATCTATCCATCCATCCTTTTTTCTTTCCACCATTCCTTCCTTCTATCCATCCATCCATCCTTCTTTCCATACTTCTTTTCTTCCTTCCATCCATCCATCTCTCCCTTCCATCTTTTTCTTCTTCCATCCATCCATCCATCCATCCATCCATCCATCCATCATCCATCCATCCTTCTTTCCATACTTCTTTTCTTCCTTCCATCCATCCATCTCTCCCTTCATCCATCCATCCTTTTTTCTTTTCATCCATTCTTCCTTTACATTTTTCCTTTCCTCCATCCATTCTTCCCTCTTTCTATCCTTCCTTCCCTCCTTCCATCCATCCTTCCTTCTATCTATCCATCCATCCACCATTTCTTCCATCCATCCATACTTTTTTCTTTCCATCCATCTTTCCTTCCATCTTTCCTTTTTTCTATCCATCCTTCCTTTCATCCATTCTTCCTTCCATTATCCTCTCCATATATCCATCCTTCCTGCCTTCCTTCCATCCATCAATCCCTTCCTTCCATCCTTCCTTGTAAATTGGTTGAAGCAAACTGAAAGCGTCTCTGTGTTTTTATTGAGCAGAATGATGGCAGTCAAGCGGACGGCGGTGGGCCGGTGAAGATTTCAGAGAAGCGCTCCAAAAAGCACAGCATCTTCAAGTGTGCTCTGCTGTAAGAGTCTCGCAGCGAGGAGATTCGCTCTGCCGCAGCCAGAAACTCTCCTGCTGGTGTAACAAATCACAGCAGCCCTGCAAAAGAGCCACAAAATCAGGCTCAAGAACGTGCCAAGGCTCGCGTTTCCAAGCCCTTAACGTCAAGACGAAACCGAGGAGTGATACCGTTTCACTTGGCAGAGTCACAATAGGAGACGATTCCTTTGTTGTGTGTTGATTGTGTCGACAGATGATGGATCGAATATGGTTTTGATGTTTCTTTTTCTAAATATTCTATATGGGCACAGCACATGCAGTCCTAAAACATTTGCTGCTGAAGGCTTCGATGTATCGCATACAGTGTTTCTGAATTAGTTTGTGTGTTTTATGGCCTTTTATACACTGTGTTACTGCACCGGTTCAGAAATGTAAGATATAATGTGTAACATGAAGAATGGCAGTGAGTTAAAAGCACTTTACATGTCATTCAGACTCCCGTTTTTCCTGGGAGTCTCCCGTATTTCAGACCCATCTCCCGCCTCCCTCCCGTTTTTGTTATTTCTCCTGGAAAGCTGCTGTAATTTCAACCATCCTCAGCATTTTGGTATGGTCTGTGAAACCATTGGGTCGCCAACATTGTTATAGGATCCAATCACAACGGCTGCCGCAGTACCCGGTTCTCAACAGTGTTATTCAGACACCTCACACCTAAACCTAACTCCCCCAGTCTCCCGGATTTTCAGGGACAGATGTTGGCAGGTATGTCATGATGGTCAGGTTTCAAAAGGGAACAACACAAAAATCACAGTCACCCAAAGACATTTGGTCAGACTGCACGTCTTGATTTTGCCAAGTACAATGCGATCCTGGATTAACATCTATGTTGTTCCTGAAACGGGCATCGCTACAGGCCCTATGACCGATACGGGCCCTATGACAACATTCTGATCTGGGCTGTCGTGGACTAAAGTGAAGAGCGGGGGTGGGATGAGAGGTTGAGGTATAAATCAACCTTAGTAACTCTGGTAGCTCCAAAATGGTGTGGGCTCTTAAAATAGTCATAACTTTCATTTTTGTTCGAAAATATAATACATACTTATCCCCCACCCTTAAACCCAACCATAACTGTAAATCATTCCCAAAATCAGAGGTGAATAACTGTTGGATAGCACTTATGAAGAAGTGCATAAACCGAACCGTAGGCCTAAACTTAACATCAACGGTAAGTGTAACACTTAATTCTGATTGGCCGATTTGAATGCTGTTCCAGAATCAACATAGATGTTAATCCAGGAACATGTCCTACTTGGTGAAATCAGGTTGGCGGTGCCGAACTTAAGAACCAACCATATTAAAGGGGTAGTTCACGCAAAGAAAGGAAATTTGGTGTTAATTTTGTGACCTTTACGTCACTTTAATAATTTCATTATTTGTTTACAACAATTTTTTTAAGCTAAAATCATAATTCTTGGTGATTTTTATCAAATTTGAGTAAAAAAAAAAAACAGCCTGATCTCACAAGGAAACGTAAGTATTTTACGTTTTGTCAGTTTAGTGGCTAATTTGTACAGTCGTATGAAAGTTCAGTCGTATGAAAATGTACGATTTTAAAAAGGAGGCGTGGCACCCAACCCCTCCCCTAACCCCAACCGTCATTAGGTAATGAGCAAATCGTACTAAATTGTACAATTTAGATCATACCAATTCATACGAATTAGCCACTAAATCAAAAAGTTACAGATTGCCGCGAGACTGCATGGAAAAAAACATATACAGGCAAAACAAAAGCGATTCCTATGGCTAATGATGACAGATTGTGGTTTTATGATCACAAGAAACTTTACATCATTTATTCATTTACCTTTGGCTTAGTCCCTTTTTTATCAGGGGTCTCCACAGCAGAGTGAACCGCCAACTATTCTGGCATATGTTTTACGCGGTGGATGCCCTTCCAGCTGCAAACCAGTACTGGGAAACACCCATACACACTAAGGCCAATTTAGTTCATCCAATTCACTTATGTCTTTGGACTGTGGGGGAAACCGAAGCACCCGGAGGAAACCCACGCCAACATGGGGAAAACATGCAAACTCCACACAGAAATGCCAACTGACCCAGCCAGGACTCGAACCAGTGACCTTCTTGCGGTGAGGCGACAGTGCTAACCACTAAGCCACCATGCCGCAACTATACATAATTTACAGTATTATTTTTTATCATCATTTGACAGTTTTTTCATCATTTCATAGGTTTAAATTGTCTTGCCTTTATATTTTTATATAAGCATGTAAGCTTTACTGAAGAAGAAAGTAGCCACCTAGATATTTTAATTGGTTTATTTTTTGTGGTGTGTGAACTGTCTCTTTAAGAAAAATAAATCATGCCTTTATTTAAGTCTTAGAGTTGTAAAATATATGTAAATTAAATTCAGTCCAGCATTTGTGATTTGTAAATATCATTTAGTCAACATGATGATTATTAGCTATTAGTGTTAATCTCAGGCTGTTTGGCCATGTGAACACACATATGCGTCCTCTAACCACTGATGCTCATGAAAACACACAGAGTGAAACGGAGCTTTCATTTGATTTCTCTTGCCTTTTTAGCCCTTTGTATATTTTTATTTGATTAAAAATATCCAGTGCATTTTTGATATCTACATTTATATTGTACAAGCAATTTTGTTTACTGTTTACATTTTGTTTCTCACCATAGGCTCTTAAAAGAAATGTATAGTTCCCAAAAAGTGTGTGTATTATGCTTGTATTGTCAATGTCATCGTTTTAGAGCGAAAGCAACTGGGTAAATTTGTGATATGTGAGACATTTTGTTCTCCAATTCAAACTGCACTAAAGAGTTTGTGCGAAATAGAACAGATTACAGCAATAAAAAATACTTCATCTACTTGTGCTAATACTGGGAACGGAACGCCTTGGATCTGTTTTCATGAATCTGTCATACTTTTAAAGTGTCGACGATCAACATATCACTTCAGCGAATGTAGCATGACCACTGATATTCAGATGGGACCATTGTTATGCATGTGTTTTCGTTCATATCTGTTATTGTGCTAATGGACATGTAACGCAACCTGTTACCCGAAGAAAAGCTACTATAGGCTCATTTAAATGTGTTAAAATCTTGAAGAAATGTGAACAAGAATTTCAAGTGTGGTTTTATTAACTGTAGAATTTTATAAAACATAGTAAAATACTGCATAATCCTTCATTTTTGTCATGGCTTTATTATTGTCCTCCTTTTTCCTCCCAAGCATCATCCAGAACAGCAGATGGCGCCATTACACAGCTTTATCCCGTCAATAAAACAAGCCTCTGATACAGACTGCAAACATTTTGCACTGAGGTAGACTCCTTTTGTACTTTGACTAGTTCAGTTTGCATAGCCTTACTTTAAGATCATCTCTATATTGTGTTTCATGCCAAAAACATCTTAACCATAACACTTTCTGTTATTCTGTTCCTTAAATAATACTGATAGAAATGCCTTCACAAATAATGAACTGTTCCCTACCGAAAAAAAAACAGCTTAAACCAGCCTAGGCTGGTTTTAGCTGGTCAACCAGGCTGGGTTAAGAGGTCATTATTTGTGAAGGCATTTCTATCAGTATTATTTAAGGAACAGAATAACAGAAAGTGTTATGGTTAAGATGTTTTTGGCATGAAACACAATATAGAGATGATCTTAAAGTAAGGCTATGCAAACTGAACTAGTCAAAGTACAAAAGGAGTCTACCTCAGTGCAAAATGTTTGCAGTCTGTATCAGAGGCTTGTTTTATTGACGAGATAAAGCTGTGTAA